GTCATGAATAAATTCACATGTCTCCGCTCGCAAGCCTTCAATTCTGAGCCCTTATTTTAGGACGGGCGGGGGGCTTCCCGTAGCAGCTCATCACCGCGGTTCTCAGAGCCAACAGCCTTCTCAGACGAGATCATTCAATATATCAGCACGAGGCTGGAAATGGCGGATTTTCGCATGATGAGCGAATCTGATCCTGTGACAGAGAGAATTCTGATCCTTCTAAAGATTTGCGAGCAAGAAAGGAGCGCGGCTCATGGGGTCCACAGGTCGCGAAACTTTTCCGCTGACTCCTTCCAAGTCTTCGTCGATCCGCACGCTCATTGTCGGGATCCTTTGAGAGCGATCACAAAGAGGACTGGGGGAAGGGGTTTTCCTGAGCCGGATGTAGTTCAAACCGTGTCGCATCGATTCTCAAGCTGTCTGCGTCGCTTGGACGGCTATTTGGCCGCGAGATCACGGCTATTCCGCACTGCGAGCTCGCTCCAGCGTCAAGAATATCACGAAGGCGGTCGGAACCCGGAGCCTACAATGAACTGACTCCGATCCCTGTCGTGCTCGCATTCGTCATGGCTGCTCGTAAGATGCCTGCTGCCCACAGAACATCCGTCTCGCAGAGCTTTACGACGAAATGCTCTGATGAAAACTTCAGCAAAAAGCCCAGCGATTGTGGATTCGGATCGAGACGCATCGGGAGAGCGTTCAGGAGTTTTCGTCTTAAGCCTGCCGCTCGGGAAAATCGTCACAGATCGAAATTCAGGCTATTTGCAAAACTCTCTGTGAAGAAGTCGACCCAAACATTGCGCCATAAACTCCAGCACTCATTCATCGGTGGAACAACAGGTGCATAAGAGACGCTCAAGATAAAGGGTCGACATCTCCTCTCTTCCTATTACATGGTGTCGCTAATCAGTCCTTCCTCGTATGTGAGAATCTCGACTCTTCGTCGGCAGGTTTGGATCGTCTGATCGGCACCTACGGGAGTGGATTCAGATTCACGATCTGGCTCGTCACTTACCTTGTCTTAGCGAGCTGTGCCGGATATTTCGTCTTCCGGGTGCTCGCAAAATATTTTTCGTAAGTGATTGCTCTCTAGAACAACGATAACTTTCACAAATGGAGAATTTCTCCGTGAGTCTCATCGTATCTTGGTCGGGAGCTGCACAAGGGGGAGTCATACTAACTCACGGTGCACTTTGAAGAGCGAAGACAAGAGCGATTTTCCGAAATTTAGGTATGGCACCGCCATCTCCGTCGATACTCTGGACGAGGGCTCACTGGAGTTTCCGGCCGTGACCTTGTGCAATCTGAATTATCTTCGGAAGAGCACTTTCTGCCGGGACGACGAAATTTTCCCCCGATTCAGGGACAGGATTTGCAAGGAGACAAATCAGGTAGTATTATCAAATTTTCGACATTATCCTGGACGAGGAATTACCGAAAAGAAACTTGGGATGACGGTCCATTTCATAGACGAGACAGAAGATTTTCCTCTACCTCTCGCTGAGCCCTTTGAAAATGGGAGAAACGAATGGGTCAGAATCGCGACTTCGAATGTTGGACACGATAAGTCAGCACACCATCCCTTGGAATTCGACTATATTATCCTGCCAACTTTCTCGGAAAAACTGTCTGAGGTGAGCCTGGACGACACGATGGTGGAGCATTTGAACGACCTCAAAGTGAACGCGAGGGAAGCAGGCGCATGCCCAGGATTGTTTTTCCAGGGTGCTACGGCTATTGTCTTGCTACAGGCCAAGCACCGATGATGATAAACTTCAAAATTGAGCCCTATATGCCGGAGAAAGATCTTGGGAGGGGGGGTCATGGCCATGGCCCTCTCCCCACTTGACACGCCACCGGAGGGTAGATAAAATGAAATCGTTCCCTCAGACAGGACCTGATCCAGATGAAACTATCGTCGAATCCCGAGTATGGAATGTGTTTTACATTCTTCGAGAAAAGTGTTCGTCAGAACCTCACGGAAACTGAACGAGAGAATTTCCTGAGGATATCGAGGACTGACGACCCGTCGGATGGGCTGCATCTTGTGCTCGACCTGCACGCAGACGAGTACCTCCCATTCGAAATTGAACAAGGATTCGTGCTCATGATCCACAGCATTGTCGATGCCGCCGATGCCTCGCGGCAGGGCATATGGGTGCCAGCGGATCGGAGGACCTACGTGGGAATCGTGAGAGTAGGTGAAGTATTCGACTGACTACGTTTAGCACAGAGCAGAATCGTCGGAGGACATCTCTTATGGTCTCGGAGTCGGTTCATTTGCTTATGTCTCTGGTACCGATGGAGCGGATGAATGCCCGATGACTCTTCTGGACGAACTACAATTTATACAGGAAAGCGTGCACCTACAGCCACCTCCGTTCGACACGAATTGCCACCCTGAGGATTTTTGGCCCGTGCAGGTTCTGAAGCTGAACGCTTACCTCGCTCAACATCTACAAGGGGAACGATACAGCGCCGTGGTAAGGCTTTCGAATTTTCTGCCGCTAGAGCCTCTCCGGGTTCTCTTGTTCATTGTTGTTCATGATTCGGATGCGATCCAATCGAACCGAACTCTTTTCTACTGCACTTCAAGATTTGCGAATTCATCTGTCGGGCGATCAATGTCATCGAAGTTTGCGATTGTGAAGCCAGGGAGGGAAATTTCGACTATGCGTTGACTTGCGCGGAGCGGATGTCTCGTAAGCTTCGTAGAGTCTCCCCATACCTCTTCTCATCGCCTCTGCTGCCTTAACCTATCGTATTCTTAAGGTCCTGGTCGACGCTCGAACTTCACATGTAAAGATGATTTCACGAGAGCGCCTCTCGATACCGCTAGGAGGTACAATAGATCCCTGATATGTAATTGCCCTCCGAAGTGCAGGTGAATAAGAACTACATCCCCGCTCATGTCTGTCGTCGAACAGACTTGATGCTGTGAATAACGCGGCCTCGCTCGTTTTCAGAGATGCTGTTTTCGTGAAGCAAGTTTCGTATTCCCAACTCAGGAAAGCTACGGTATACCGCGAGGAATTCATTCGTATATCTCGTGTTTCGGATTTCATACAGCGTCAGATTGCTCTGGCAAAATTTCCCTCGGATTCTCTCATTTTCCCTGTCGCTCCTAAATTGATAATTCAGATCCAGGATGATCCGTCAGGACCGCCCAAAAGGTGAGTGAACGGAAAGGTCGAGCCCCAATATCGAGCATCGGGAACAATTGGAAAATATTCGTTCTAAGAAAAGAAGTGGAGTGACCTGTATGTTGCATCCACATCTTTCAGGTACGCAGAGGTTTTCGTTTACTTCAAGGATATCAGGGAAAACACCATGGATGTCACACCTACCTATACGGTGAGTCTAGCGTCGATGACTGGACGCCTAGCTTCAATCTTCATGAAGTCACAGGATCTCTTCGTCCCAGCTCATTACGGTTCCTCATTCGTGCAGTACCAGAGGATGATGAACGAGGTCGGAGGCTTCCTCGGTAGCTTCGTGGGCTTAGCCTTCATGAGCATTTATGAGATCGTGGAAAGCTCCGCGATCGGTTTCTCGCATCTCATCCTGCCCCCACCGAGTCCCTAGTTCGCGTACTTAGCGGGAGCTTTTTCGCGCCTCATTCCATACGAGAGGGCAGCCATCATGACCCCGAAGAAAACGAAATCATCGGCAACTAATCAGAGATCAGATCGTCGGGATTCAGGACTCATGATAAAGGAAAATTTGAGAATCATCGAGGACATTTGCCGGGCCCATTTTCGACCTAAGCAGCGGCGATTGGTCGGTGGCCTCAACGAGACGCCCCGTCGACTTCTGCGGACAACTTCTTCGGAAAACCTCCAATTCTACGAAGTTCGTTCCGAGAGGGACGCCATCACGCGGAACATCAGAGATCCTGTAGAAGCGAGACGCTGTCCCGACGCTGTGGCGCCTTTGCCGCCGGGTGGAGGGCGACGATCGAGCGAAAACGATGGAGTTTCCCTCTCAGAAAGTTTCTGACAGAGCGGAGCTGACGCATTCTCCGCGCAAAAAGGGTCTGCCGGCAGATCTCGTATTAGTTCGATAAGAGAAAGAATTTTCGAGAAAATTCATTGAATAAACATCCGCTCTCGAGCACTGATTGTGTTCAGTCTTCAGTCCGAACAGGGAGGTCATGTTTGATGAGTTACAACGACGTCAGACGCGAAATCTGTGAGATAGTTGGAGCTCGGGGCTTTTGAGTGTATGGGGAACGAGCAGATATCACGGCGGATGACGGGGGATCTTGTGCTCAGGAGGTCACCGCATGAAGCAAACAAAAAGTCTGCGCCTCAGAAACTTTTATTGATTTGGAATACATATTTACAATGCGATGTGCTGCTATCGAGGTGAGAAGCAGATAATTCCCGGCCTTCATCGGGCATCAAAGACCATGTGTCTCTTCGTTCGACGTTTGTACATGATCCGGTATCCACACTCCCTGTGAAGAAGACGATCGTTATGAGTAACTGCTCATCGAGCAAGAATCAAGTATTCTGCGGAGCCTTCCAAAAGCATAAAATGCGCTCCCGGACCGCGATGAAGTGAGCTCTGGACATGTTTTGAGTTGACCGGCTCAGGAACTGAAGGGAACGAACTAACCTGCAACGGATCGGATCCGAAAGCTTCATTTCGTTTTCGTGGTGGCAATCCCCGCAAATGTATATCATAGGCGGTGGCTTGTTCAACGTTGAGCCCCCGCCACCACCAGATGCCTGCTTCTCAGACATCGCTGTTTCTCTAAAATCGTTTGACTTCGAGCCACAAGGTAGTGTTGTTGTTGTTCTATTGACTCTCGGCCACAAGGTATGATTCAAGATGGCGACCGACCACGAGAGTTCTCTCTCCATCATCAGAGGGCAAGCAGACGACGTCGTTGACGGTGAGCGCGCACTTTGAAATCCTAAGGATGATCTCGGGAAATAAGACAATGATTTGCGATAGAGATCGAGGAAAAAGCATCTCCGATCGTTCATCCCTAGATGAGGGACGAGACATCTCTGCGAGGGGTTCGTCTGTATCAGCTCCGAGAAATCACCCCGCGCGCCACCCTATGCGGCGTAGTTCGAGAGCAGAAAATCGCGAGGAATATGGGACGGTGTCCTTGAATCTACTCACTGCACTCTCGAGGGGAGAACGCCCCTCATCCATGTGGAAGATTATACGCTCATTGGCATTCTTCGATGCCAGGACCAATATTATCCTCGTGGGCGATTTCGACGAATCTTGACAATAGGATATGGGCGGGAAGAATTGAGAGGGAAAAGGTCCGTGCCGTGACGCTGTCTCCATATGGCGAGGATCTCCAATAGGGAATCCCTTCCCGACTCCACTTATCCGAGGTGAGGCCGACTCCCTCGATACGGAGCAGGCCGAGGCAAGGAGACTCAAATTGTCGCCGATACATCGTACACTGAGTCTCGTGTTCGCGAAATCCGAGACGGAATTCGCGGGTTAGGATATTCTCGCGATTGGTCGGACCACCGATTCACCGAAACCAAGACCCTTACGTTCTCCCATACTTTCGCTTTTGCAGGATAAGATCGAATCGAAACACGGAGAGGGTGACCTGATGGCGGGAAGATTTGACTTCTCGCTTCGTCTGCGCCCCATAAATGTCTCAGCTCACCGCGTCGTTCTGCGGATGAATGCGGGAAGATTGGGAATCCCCCATCTGGGAAGTCGATCCCCATCACCCTTGGCTCAGTACTGATCGAGATCGCGACAGTGCCTCGGAGCAGAAGCTCTCCCCGCTGGCGGACCGCCTGCTTCCAACCAGGGCCGGGAATTGTTATTGGTATGTCTCTGCCGCCGCCGCTGCGCGCCAACGAACGGGCGTCGTTTTTTTGTTGGTGATCGGGAGGAGAGCAGTCTTCGTTGATCACAGTGCCTTTTGACGTTCCTCGACTGCGAACGCGATTCGGTTTGGGAGACTTCGACCGAACGCTGTGCTCGGAAGATGCCATCGGAGTAGGTCCACCGACGCTGGTGGGAACGAATTTGCGAGTTCTCCATTTGGCGCTCATTCCTGCTGTGTTGGTGAAAGGACCCTGAAGCGGCGGACGTTGTTGGAACCGTGGGGACGCCGGTTTCTGTGCCGTTTGCAGGTGGACATTTCAAAATTGGTCTCCCTTTATGTAAGTGGATTTTCCTGGCATAAACGTCGACGACTCGTCGAGTTTGGGTGATTGCTTAGCCCCGCGGAAAGCGCCCCCCCAACGAGGTTCAATGCTCTTCTAGGGGCTACTCATTGTCAGAGACAGAGTGGTACGAAGCTTGCAACGATGGTTCCATGTAGAGCACTGTGCTTCCAGAGCTCACTGGTGCTCGGTGGGAAACTCCGCCTCTCTCTCACTGGAATTTTCCCTCTAGAATCGAACAGCTCGTTTCCGAGTTGAGAGAGGTTGCTCGACCGAGCAGGCGGAGTTCGATTTCTTTGTTTATCTGTCCGACTGGAATTCTCGATTCCGAAGGACGGATTCCCCGAAGTCGGAGAAGAAATCACGTTGACACTAATTCATTCGAGACGATGCCTCGTTGCACGTCCACAGATACCCCATCCCGATCCGAGAGGAAATCGCAGTGCGATAGTTTCCTCTGACTCTTGAGAACAGGTGTCTCTGAGCTCGAACGCCTCCACTCACCCCTAGCCGATAATGTGCCATTGATGTTTGTTATTGTCTTACGATAGTCGGCGACTCACTGGATATCCTTAAAAAGAGCATCCTTCTAGCTCGACAAATGGAGGGCAAGCCTCTGAGTCGGCCTCGATTGCGAGCTCCGCCACCCGTGAAGCGAGGAAGGCACTCAGAGCCTGAACAGCCGACCACAACTGGACGAGGTGCGGACTCTGGTGCTCAATTAATTGCTATCACTTGAAGATCCAAATCCCACAATGCAGGGCGGCTGAGAATAATAAAATTTCACCCGCGATTGGAACGTTTCATTTTCGCAGACAGTGAAATTCGTACCAGACGGAGCGGAGGTGTGATCCTCACTCCCGAGACAGCTTCACCGCCTACTCGGAAAAAAGGGAATTTCGAGCAAGCCAAGGTAGTCGGCCGATCCTCCACTAACTTCCGGAGGCTTCCTGCTAACAAGAAGGTGTGCTCGCGCTCGCTTTGGGTATAGCTTCGTTTTTGAGCCATGGCTGTTTGATCTATCGAATATACATATATGTATGTACATTTTCTTAGAAAGATATGTGCCGAATCGGTGATTTGAGATTTCCGTCGCCGAGAGAGCAACGCTTCCGCTGTCCCAAGCCCCGTAAACGCACAGCCATGGCTACTAATCACCTTTGATGGAATCGCTTCGCTTCTCAATTCCCAACAAACAGTCCTCATCCCGCACTCTTCTTCTCTAACTCCTGCACGCCTTTGGTGGCTTGGTCTTTGTTGTCAGGTTGAGAAAAGCTCTGTGCAGGTGGAAGAAAGATGGATCAAGTCTCCTACTCACTCGACCTCCTCTCAGGACTCTGCGTCGATTCTTTCGGGTGAACAGCAGCACAGGAACGCCCTTCTCAAAAAAGATATCAAACGACGGAGGTATTTCAAAGGGAAGTCCTATTCTCTTGGGAAAACGAAGAAGAGATCTAAAGCCAAATCGAAATCCAAATCCTTGTCAGGTGAGTTATCGGAGCTTCGGAATCAGGAAGTTCCCGAGCCGAAACTCGGTCTTTCAAGAAAATTGTCCCCCTCAATCATGCTGTCATCTTCCTCAATGTCGGCTCTTCTTATTTCCGCAGCTTCGGAGAGCGCTGCAACCGAGGACGTCGAGAGCGAATCGACTCAGGAATCCTTCACCGAGGGAGAATCCGCAGCTGAAGGCGCGAACGCATCGAAACTCGGGAAGCGACCTCTCGAGGAGGACGAGGACGAAGAGGACGATAAGGAGTCGGATGTCGATCCGGACGCAGACCGAGATCACGAGGACGACGAGAAGGAGTCGGACGTCGATCAGGACGCGGACCGAGATCACGAAGACGACGGGGATCTTGAAGACGATGCAGAGTTTGAAGAGACCAAGGAAGATGTGTACCAGGATCCAGTCTACGACGACGAAGACGAGGAAGAAGAAATGAAACTCGAGATTCCAGTCGAGGACGACGAAGACGACGACGACGAAGATCTCTCGAAAGACAGCAGTAGCAACAACAACCACCACGACAACAAAGCTGACAGTGCATTCGTCGGAACCACGACAATAGAACCGAAAGTTGAAGTAGTTAGCGCGAGCTGCACCAGTCCCAATGCGGAGGTCTCGGAGGGGACCGGCGACTTGCGGACCGCCGTAGCTTTATCGCAAAAGGTTGAAAGTCGACAGCGCAGCGAATATTCAACCAGACCCATATCGGGTAGGCCTGACGGCAACGCTGACGAGGGCAACGCGAACAGCATTTTATCTTCAGTGAAGACCCGCAATCGGGTTAAAAGGAGATATGATGAGAATCTCGTAGATATCGACGATCCCACGTTTGCTGAAGCGGCCGGAGAAATCTCAACTGCACCAGACGAAGCCCCACGTTCGACTCGGAGTTCACAGATCTCGAGTACGGTCAACGACACCGCGCTTGTGCCGTACTATCCCCAGGAAGCGTCGATCGTGCCTTCGAATTACAAAGTCGAGCACATGGTGAGTTTCCTCCGGCAACGGAATCCAGGGGATCCGCGATCCGTATCCCCGAATGAGGTGGGAATCACACGCGCTGCGCTGTACTGACATGGTCTGAATTTCTCTCCAGGTCGACAAATCGATCGCTCTCTACCGTTGCCATTGTCTTTCGTTGCCGTTGTCGCACCCCCCTCCCACTTCCGCGGGCAGCGACTTCTACTGTCAAGCGCTCGACGGGATCTCTGGTCGGGTTATTGGATGCTCGAAGAAAATCAAGAACTACGACATGTATCGTGCTTCTCAGAAAGTTCCTTTCGCGGTGTTGTGTGAAGGTCACACTGTTCGTTTGCTCAACCATCAATGCTGCCCCATGTGTGGAGTTTTCTGCACTCAAGGCGAATTCATGCTCTGTAGGAAATTAGAAGGTTCGAAGTCGCGGACACACTTTTACCATAAGGAGTGCACGTTCAAACCATTGGCCTTAGAAACCGTCGGGGCGGTTTCCGAATGCTGCCCACACTGCGGCGGTACAAACAACTTGAAAACGGTAAGAATCATCTGCCGTCGTGGACGAGATCTCTCGGCGTGCAACGGAAGTCAACATCGTAGAGACGTCATCGACGCCCGAACGTCCAACAGTCGGACATGCTCTCAATTTTTTTTTCTTGATCCTCAGATAAAACTGGAGCTGGAGAGCGAGTCCGTTCCTATTGTGAGCTTCAGTCAAAAAATATCCTCGACGGGACCCCGCGCCAAAATGAGCTTGGGAAGGGTGCGTGAAACGAACGAAGGTGTCGAGCGACCCGCCTTGACTCTACCCGGAATGAAAGAGCCCCAGGATCCCGAAGGCGAGGAAATCGATATCGTTGTGAACGACGCATCTCTCATCACATGCAACACTGCCTGGTGTCCGTCGATCACCAAAGTGACCCGGGCCGCCCAGAGCTTCAACAAGACCCTGGCGTCGCGTGTGAGCGCCAAAACGCTCTATTCCGCAGCGAAATCCGGAGATGTGGAGAAAGTTGTACATGCAATCATGTCCGGTGTGGATTTGAGCACCGAGTTCTCTGACGAAGACAACTATACGGCTTTGCACGTGGCGGCCGAGGGTGGCCACGTGGAGATCTGTCACATTCTTGTTCGGGCTGGCTGTTCGGTTGACGCGCTTGACACCGGTCTGTACACGCCCTTCATGACAGCCATAACGGCCGGGCAGAGGAAAGCTGCCCGTTGTCTGATCGCCATGGGCGCGGACTCGTCCAAGTGCGGTGAAGACGGCATGACTTGCCTTCATTTGGCAAGCAAAGCCGGTCTGCTGGACATCGTACAGATAATACTCAAACGCTCAACGTCACAAGTCAACGCTCAGGACGAAGGGGGCTGGACGCCGATCGTCTGGGCGTCTGAACATCAACACGCGAACGTGGTCCTACTGTTGCTAAAACATGGAGCGAACCCCAACATCAAAGATGCCGAGGGCAACACCGCGCTCCATTGGTCAGCATATTCGGGGACGGTCGATATATCTCTCATGTACATTGATCTGGGATCTGACGTTAATTCGCGCAACGAATTGGGCGATACTCCGTTGCACGTTGCCGCTCGACAAGATAAATACGAGATGGTCATGCTGTTGTTGGGTCGAGACGCGGACGTCGCGGCGCTCAACGAAGCCGGACAGAAAGCCATCGACGTTGTGAAGGACAAAAGTTCCGCCTGCTACTACGCGATCTTGCTCAGTCTAGAGATCAAGAAGGCCATCAAGAACGCCCGGAAGCTCAAACCGTTCCCCAAAGTCATCCACAGAGACATTTCCCGCGGGAAAGAGAAACACTCGATCCGCGTGGTTAATGAAATCGACGACGAGCGGGAAATTCCGAACGATTTCATGTACTTGATCAACAACTGTGAAACGACGCTCTTGAACATCGATACGACGATCCAATCGTTGCAATCCTGTAAATGTCAGGACGACTGCACATCGACGTCTTGCCAATGCACGCAGCTCGGGAGCGGATGCTGGTATAGGGATAACCGGCTAGTGGATAACTTCAACTTCAAGGACCCACCGATCATTTTCGAATGCAATCGCGCCTGTTCCTGCTATACCAATTGCGAAAACCGCGTGCTGCAGCGCGGTATACAGTGAGTGTTCGCTTCCGATTCCACCGTGATCCGTAGGAATTCGGCCAAAGGTGTCATGAAGACCTCGATTGTTTGGAGGGAGCAGGGACAACCTCTCCTCTAATCTGAGAGAACTAATTTTCGGCTTTCCAGGGTGCACATGGAGCTGTTTAAAACTCAATTGACCGGGTGGGGAGTTCGCGCCCTACAAGAAATCCCCAAGGGCACATTTGTGTGCGAATATGTTGGGGAGATCATCACTGATAAGGAAGCCGATCAGCGTGAGGACGACAGTTATCTATTCGATCTCGAGAACAGGTGAGTCCCAGCAGCGATATCACGCATTCGCGGTGCTGGAATTCGGCAGGATCGGAATCAGGAGCATACCAGGGGCTGGAACTGAGTGAGAGTTGTGATCGATTTGCAGGGACGGAGACACGTTTTGTTTAGATGCGAGACACTACGGTAACGTTTCAAGATTTATAAACCATTGTTGCGACGCCAACGTGCATCCAGTCCGAGTCTACGTCGATCATCATGACCTGCGATTTCCTCGCATCGCTCTCTTCGCAACTAGAGACATATCAGCTGGTGAACAGCTCGGGTGAGTCTGACTGATCGAAAGACATCAAGCGAGGAATCTCGGCTGAAACGTTCCCGAGCTTCTGGGAACGTTTCACTGTTTCATGAATGGATATAGAAATTCTATTAAAATGCAATCTCTCTCCCGAACAGTTTCGATTACGGCGAGAAGTTCTGGGTCATCAAATACAAATCGTTCCTTTGTGGTTGCGGCAGTCCCAAATGCAAATACAACGCCGAAAATATACAGAGCGCCCTTGAAGCCTACCACAACAAGAACGCAACCGACGATGACTCGATGATCAATGGCGAGTAGGCCAAATAGGACTGACTGTTTATCGTATTTCGTGTGTCCGCGTCATCAATACACTTAAAATAACGCCTAAATGAATGAATAAAGGTGGAACTAGTTAATATAGAGAACTTCACGCGACGGAGCTCGATACCGACGCTGAAATACGTCTTTTGCTGATTGACGTCATGCTTGTATTGATGTTTGGTGGCGATATTCTCTGTCTAATTTTATACAAATTATTTGAAGGACTTCAAAAGAAAAAACAGACAAGTAAGCAAGCGAGCAAGGGAGTAAGCAAGCAAACAAGATAGCGAGCGAGTTTTGAGTCGCTTTGACAGTGGGTGGTTGATTGAATAAAGATAACGAGACCCGAGCGCGGGACGGACCGTCGATGAAGAATCTTCGTTGGTGAAGGGTCTGAATGCCCAAGCAGTCGATAGAAGGGTAGGAATAGATACGAATATTCGAATCGGACAGCTTGAGAGCATTCGACGTTTTTCGGAGCGTAAGGTGGTATCATGCGATGTCTACAAAGTATTCTTTGCGGATCTTCCTGTGGCCCGAAATTCACCCCTTGCTACGTTCATTTTTCCTTGCACCGCAGTCTTCTGAATCGAAGAGCTCGCTGGGGCCTTCGAAGTCGCCTGGGCTGTGAGATGAACGGTGGATGCTGCTCTCTGATCCAATCTTCGATGTTTCTCGATGGATTTAGAAATCCTGGTCTTTTCATTATACTCCAACCCTCGAATCTACGCCGATTATCTCTACGTTGTTCTGCGAATTTCGACATCTGTAATGATAATCCTCTCAAACGGGAGGAAACTGGATATTCCGAACCTCTAGGAACCCACGCGCGGAACCGTTATCGTTTGTGGAGATATCACTGGGTTTATGCAACTTGTATATAATTTCATTCAATGTTTTCCGAAGTCACCAATAAAGCCATCATTCTTCCGATACGCAAAACTCACGATCGAGAGGACTCGCTTCCCCGAGTCCTCTCTCCGGATGGGATAACTCGAGAGCAAATCTTTAGTCTACCTCAGAGTGGTTTCATTCGGCTACGCTAAGAGGGAGCAAAATTTCCTCGACAAGTTTTTGCGAGATTACGACTAGTACGAGTTACGATTAGTATGCTCTGGGAGAGCTCCCGTCCGATTCGGAAACCAAATATATGAGAATTTCGTCAATCCCGAGAGTCGGCGGAAGGTGAGAATTCGAGAATCTCATCGGTTAAGGGTGAGGCATCGACCGACCTTTAAATCGTCAGGGCAGGGGGTCAACGTCGCTGGTGGTCCCAATTAGTTGGGCGGATGTGAAGTATTCCTCCGCATTTCCTCCCGTCCACCTGCCGACCCTCTTGTGAACTTCTACAGGGTACCCGTCCATTAAAAGGTCCCCTTGCATTTCCTAAAGTGGGCCCCTTACGGAGAGCTCCCAGATGACGAACGTCCATCCATTGATGCACTTCCTCGAATGTCCTCGTTTTTTGGATTAAGATGAAGGCAGCATCTCCGGCGCTCTCCCCTCATTTTTCCGATTCTCGCCTTGTTTCTCCTCTCACAGAAGGCTGTTCTTCCAACCGCAGGAAATTCTATCGCGCGCTCACATGCATACAACATACAACTGTTCAGCATTCGCGCCATCCACGCTCCTAAAAGTCGTACGCGGCAAGTGTCCAATTGGGGGTCGAGAGCGTCCGGGATATCGGGATGTTCTCCGGCACTACCCGTGAAGACACTCCGAGAGGAGCGGAGAATCACTCGCTTCGCGACATTCAGTCCCCTTCTGATAGAAATTGATGGCATTGCGATCACGTCTATATGCTGAGAATGACACGATATCCCGGGGAACATGCGGTATCGATCGGCACCCCCCTGCAATTTTCTCGAAGTTGCTCCAGAACTTAGGTCCCACTACCGTCGACCACGGACAAGGCCCGAACCTCCAGATCCGAGAGACCTCGGCGACTCTTTATTCGCACTGACTTGGGTTCCCGGCTCGGCTACCTATTGTGACTCGAGGGTCACAGATCACAGGCAAAGGACACAATCATCTGAGAGTCCTCATCACTCATCATCGAGAGAGCAAAACAACAGAGGGTTCCGGCTACGCTTGAGTTTCCCGAGGAAGAGCTACACCAGTGTTGCGCGATTCCGCGAAAAAAGCGTGATGAGTCTCACAGGTGAGGCGCTCGAGTCGGGCATACGATCTGCAGCAAGCTCTACACATAGCGAACGTACACTTGATACCCTGTAAGAGAGGAATGAGTTTTCGGAAAAAAAATCTTGCTCCTGCTTTCAAGTTCATCAGAACGAGTCTCCAGTCTACACGCGGTGAGTCGTTCCGGGCTCATATCTTGATTCATTTACCTTTGGGTTTTTACAGTTTTCGCCTTTACACAAAGAGAAAACTGTCCTCTCACTGAGAATGGCGACGCTCCGGCGCGGATATCGCATGAGCTTCTTCAACTTGTTTTTCGAAAGCGCTTTCAAGTCAACATCGGCGGGTCGCTCAAGGTCTTGCACGAGGTCGATCATTTGGTCGATAGTTTTGCTAGGACCCTTCCGTTGAGCCTGATCGTCACTGGATTCTTCCGGGCTGCAAAAACAGATCAGGATTTTGTATGAAGAGAATTTCCCTGAAGAGCCATGGAATCGAAGTTCTCATCTCGGTGCTCGAGTACTCACTCCGGTCTCAAATACGGTTGACATCTGTAGATGGGTATGGGTTTCACGCCACACTTGAGCTCCCACGCGGTGAACGGCCGGCGGGCGCTCGAAGCTTTTTTCAGGCGTTCTCGCATATCCTTATTTACCGTGAGGAAGTCATCGATGCTCTTGGCGCTCGCGAGTCTCTCTCGGACGTCACGATTCTCGGCCAGGTGAATTCTGGAAAACATTTTTCTTCGATTTGAAATAGTTGTGACTTCGCACTTCTGCCTCTCAGGCCACGGACAGGTCGGGGCGCATTCTCCGAACAATTTCCCGGGACTCGACCGTGCAAACTCACGCCTCATGGAACAGCTTGAAGAGGTGACCTCTGATATAGGATACGGGGCAAGGATTCTTGATGACGAGGTCGAGGTATTCCTGCGCCACATCGACAACCGGGGGGTTCCGACCAGTGAAGAGAGAGGGATTGTACAGATTTCCTTCCGCGGTCATCACACCGTCGGCTCCGGTTTCTTGGAGACATTTCTGAATGTCTTCGAAGTAGCGGATATTGCCATTTGCGAAAATTGGTACCGGTACACTCTCTCTGCAATACAAGGGACCGTCATACTCGGGAGCGCCAGCGGAGCATAATGGGAAGCGTTGGAGGGATAATGTTTGACAACTTGCGGAGACATCGCCAGAGAACTCACTTCACTGCTTTTATATGGTCCCAGCTGGCGACGCCGGTCAGTCGACCTTTCATATCACGCGTTCTCCCGTGAACAGTGAGAATCGAGACTCCGGCCTCCACCAAAATCTTGGCGTATTCGACGGTCTTCCTGATATCTTTGAAAACGCGGATCTTAGCAGTAATCGGGAGGTTGGGATGATCCCGACGCGCCCGAGAGACTGAAGAAAGAAGAGAATTTAATCAATTAGCAGCTCTCCGTGGAGAGATGGAATAATGGCCTGACGGAGGAGAAACAATCGCAGTGCTCACTCATGGAGGTTATGAGCTCCCACTCATCCTGCAGGAAAGCCCCGAAATGTCCGGCGCTTGCGATGGCTTGTGGGCAGCCGAGATTCAAGTCCACGGCGTCACATCTGTCCGCAACTAATCCACAAGCCTGGCTGAATACCTCAGGATCGTTTGCGCAGAACTGGAACAGAAAAACTATCCGTGAGCTTCAGACGTCCTTCAGAAGTGCATCAGGTGGTTTCGGATCGTCCATGACCCATGACAGATTCATTCAGCTTCGTGCGCGGAGGAAAAAAATCTGTATCACCTGCACGATGAGCGGTCGGTCTTCTGCACAGGTTGCAAAAGTCTTGCGATACCCCTCACTGTTCACGAAACATTTCGCATGGTACATGGGAGTGTAACACAGTTGTGCGGAGTGTTGTCGCGATAGTAAACGCCATGCCAGCTCACTGGCATCCACCATTGGAGCGACTATATATTTCGGGGAGCCTATTTGCCTGAAGAACGTATATCCCGGGTGCTGGGGACCGCTCCTCGCTTCGGGATCCATGTCCCCGGCATTGGAGACCGCCTCAGGGAGATGATCACAAGAGAGTTCCATCGGTGCTCCAGGGATCCACAAGTGGCATCGAATGTCAGAGTTCCGAGCCGTCGACTCATTCAAGTTGAGCAGAAATCTGTAGACATTGGCTCTGAAGACGAACAAAGCCTTAACATACACCGCGGGGATTCCCTCTTTGGGAATAGAAAAGGCTCTATCCCAGTGTGAACGTGTTGCTTGTTATCGTGCTGGTTCAGTGTGAAAAGGGTCCATGAGGGAGAGGGGAGAGCATAACGTGCTTCTGTGTCCCGAGCGACGTGTCGAGCCGAACTCGGATCACGGTCCTCGCTTCCCGGGATCATATCCGGACGTAGCGCTCCCGGGTTTTGAGCCTCAGCGTCCATTGGAGATCATTCTCCTCGAAACGAGCCTCCACAGACGAAAGATTCAAAATTGACCGCGCGCGCTCCAGAATCTGCCCCTATGTGACACTCGGTTTGAATTCTCGGGAAGCGGCAACCAACAGCAGCAGAACCAACTGTCTGTTGTGCCGATATTTCCAGCAGTGTTGAGTGGTGTTGTGGTCATACAAATAAATCGACGATTTCGAGAAGTACTAATGTGTTGTTTGTGAAAGATCGTGATGGCTGGGTTTCTCGAAGTTCTGGTGAGTATCACAGCCCAACCGTGTACGGTGAAACGGCAATGCTCAAGGGAGGCACTGCCCAGAGCCGGTTAACCGGAGCAAAGCTCGCGGCTGCGTGAACAGCTCCTCTTAACGAGTCGCCGAATGATTTGAAGAAATGCGTGACCAGGTCGAGGTGGAGGCAGCGCTCTGATTAGATGCTGGGTATCTCTCGAAAAGTCTCGTCTAGGGAAGCCGAATGTTTTGTTCGTCCCCTCGCGCGACCCGTTCGCACCGCATCGAAATGGCGCTCTGTTACCGCTCTTTGACGAAAATTTCCTCTGTAATTCCAGTTGGGCGCCTATGGCGTCAATGTGAAATCATATAGACAGCTCCGGGGTGGGACGAAACTGTTAGAGCTGTTTTCCATGTAAGTCGCATCCTTAATCCACTAGCCGTTCCGAACGATACTCCGGGTCGACTCGCATCCGGAGCTCATCTCTGGAGAAACGATAAGTCTCCTCGCCTCAATACCGTACCGTTTCCAGATCGGCCACAAACTCGCCGCAAGATAACTTTCGCCGCCTGAAAGCACATCTCCGGAATTTTTTCCCCCAAATCGAAGGGTCCCTTTGTGTCGGGAAATGTGCTCGTGGAGAGCGACTCGAATTGTGTTACGTAGCGGCATTATCAGTGGGTGCACTGATCGCACAGGATCTCTCGAAAGCGTCCTCGTCCCTGGATCAGAGTCTGCCCGAGCGACTTCGAAACCTCTGCGCATACCAGGGAGCCGAAGTCAGTTTCCCTTAGAATCAGATACCCGCATATAATCGAATATTATTCATCGAAGACACGCTCAGACGGCACCAAGCTCCAGAAGCTCCATTTTCATATCTCCGGATGAGCTTAACAGCTATCTAAGCAGGAGGCCAATTTTGTAGGTGGACTCCATTAAGGAGTTTTGTGAGATTGTCTTCAGAGACGAAAACGTACCGAACAAGATCAAGCAGCTTCTGTCGACCTGGATGGAAAACACAGAGAACGATGTTTCGACGTCGAGTGGTTCATCTCTGAATTCCTCGGTGGCGTCGATACACAGCAGGGCTCCACTTTCGCCGCTGAATGCCGTTTTGCGGACTCCGGAAAACCGGCTGCGGGTCCGGGAGAAGTACAACCAAGAGGTATGGACCTTGTGATAACATTTGCTCTAATTCGACCACGGGAATCGATCCCGATGGGACTAGGCCAAAGTGTCGCATAATGATGATGGGGAATCCGCTGAATGACGCTAATTCCCTCCCGCCCCCCCCCTCAATCAAGGTGGTGAAACTTCGCGGCGATTTGCTCATCATGCGAGAACGCTATGACCATCTCGAGGCGGATATGAAACAGCAAGCCGACACGAAAGATCGAGAGCTGAAAGAGTTACAGAACCGAGTTCGTTTCCTCCGGGAAATCATCGACTCGGAATCGGAAGAAAGTCGCAATAATGCTCCTGCGGTTCAAAACGAAGTCTCCGCCGGTCGGCTGAAAATGCTCCAGAAACAAGTGCAACAACTACAAGAGTTCGAGCAGAAGTTTTTCGATGAGAAACTCCGCGCAGAGGAACTAGAGACGAAACTCGTTCAGGATGAGAAGAAAATTAAGGACCTCAAAGCAAGGATTCAAATCCTTGAAGCCACGATATTCGAACGGGACGAAGAATTATCACAAGCTGCCGATGAGATGAGCGCTCTGAGAGACCGGCTTGAAGAGCAGCGTATCAATATCTCCCTTGTAAGGTGTGTATGGCTCCGAATATCAGCCCGTTTCCATTCGAGGAAACACTATGAGATACGAGCGGGAAACCGCTATGGATCTCCAGTCATTTTGAAACGGTCGTCTCGCATCAATTACAGGCACCGAAGCCGTTCCCACGACACATTGGACAGCGTGCCTGACGGGGAGAACCTCGGGGACGCAGTGCAGGACCTGATCGTCGCCGAGCTCAGAACAAACAGTGATCAACTCCGGGACGAGCTCGAGACAGCGAAGAATGAACTCGCCACCAAGAACATGGAGGTTGCAGATTTGCAGCTATCGAATCAGATGAAGCGAGAGCAGGTGGGAGAGTTGGAAGTCCAAGTGGAAGCACTAAGAGGTAGGGTGGCGCTCTTCTGCTCCTGGTAGCGGAATAGACGGAGAATATGTTGATCTCCTTTGACCACTCCGTTCCCGTATTTGGAAACCGGAAACCTGAAGTACTACAATCAGCTCCCCCGCAAATAATGAACTCCCCCCTTTAGCGCAAATCCGAAGCCACATAGAAACCATCACACAAGCAGCCAATCAAGCGAATGAGCTTTCGACGAAACTGCAATCAGCTCAGAGCGAGAGTGAGCGTCTCCGTTACGAACTGGGAAGTATGACAGAGGTCAAACAGAAACTCGAAGAGAGAAGGAAGTATTTGGAAAATAAAGTCCATCTGCTCAAGGCGCAGATCGACGAAACGCAGAGCAAGTTCAATGAAATGGATCGTATCAAGAGCTTGATCGAGGAACAGCTAAAAGGTGCGCACGAGAGATTATCATTGAAACAATTCCATTGATTGATTATTTCTATCGATCGATGTCCATCCGGGTTCATGTCCGCGTGGGATCGGCACGTCGCGTCGGGTCGGAACAGAAGCAAGAGCTCCAGAATCTCCGGTATGGGCCTCGACGTGACCACGCAACTCGTTTTTCAGCTCAAAACACGCTCATAGACGATCTGCGTTCTCAAGTCGCCGAAAAGACTGCCCGGATCTCCTGTGTCGAGGCTGAGCTTTCGAAGGCGACGAGTTCCTTCACGGAAACTCTGAAGTCGATGAACGCTCAGCTCAGCGACGACCGTAAAATTCATTCGGAGGAGAAAGCGAAGATGGAGCGACGCATCACGACTCTCGAGCAAGACTTGAATGACACAAACCTGCAAAGGCAAACTCTGTGCTCCGAGATAGAGAAATTGAAGATCGAACGTGCCGAAATACACACACAGCTCAATATTCAGCTCGAGACCCAATCGAAAATGAAGAGAGAAATTTCGATGCTGGAAGAGACTCTTCGGCTCGAGGTAGAAGCGAGACAGACTTTCGAGACCTCTTTCAAACAAGCAGTTGCGGAAGTTAACAATTTCAAGGTCGTTAACGAGCAGCTGAAAATCGAAGTCGAACAGCTTCGGTCATCGGAGAGAAGCATGAAGGAGCACCTGGAGCAGGATCAGCAGTCTCTGATCGAGACGCGCGAGAATCTGAAGGTTCTGGAAGAAAAACACCGAGATATGAAGAAGACTTACATCGCGAACAGCACTCAGCTGGAAGAAATGAGGGGTGAGTATACCTGAATTCGGAAGCTGGGAAAGCAATATCCGGCCTGGGAATCGAAGGGGCTTAGGATCCTCATATCGTCCCTGTAGGAAACGGGTCGATTTCCACACTGGGGGGCAATGCTGAGAGATATAGGCCGAAGTGCAGGCTTCTCCACAAGCGCCGCCATTGAGAATTTCTAATTGCAGAACTTCTCGAAACGCGTAAGGGCGAGAACGCTGAGCTGAGAGAAATTCAAGGAAAGCTTCAGACGACCGTGGAGGAGCAGGCTCGAGAAAAAGCTGCGCTGGAAGCGGAGATCTCCGAGCTCAAAGACGCGCTCGCCTCAGAAGCGGCAGACAAGCTCTTCATGGAGGTATTGCACACAGCTGGTATATGAAGCGATTCGCTGCCCCGTCGTGACTCAAATTTTTGGCTTCGTCTCCCCCACTACGACCTTGTCATGATTTTTTCGCAGGACGCATTGAAACAGGCTTCAGCCACGATTTCTGAGAAAGACTCCTTCATCAGCAGTCAAAACGCTATCCTGACGCAGATGGAAAGCGAAGTGCAAACCCTTAAAAGTCAGCTCACTACGAGGGATCAGCAATGGAGCGAATCCAATGAGGCTCAGGAACAATTGCGCAAGGAGGCGGATTCAGCGAAGGCCGCTCTCGAGCGTCTCGAGTCGCAGACGGCCCTACGCGAGAAGGATCTCGAAGACAGCGTCAAGGAGCTGCAAGAACTTCTGGAAGGCAGCAAGAAATCACTCCATGCTTACGAGGAGCAAATCGAATCTCTCACGCAATCGACGGAAATCTTGCACAAAGAAAGAGCTCTGCAAATCGAAGCTGAAGCGAGGAATGAGTCGGAGCTGAGACGACTGCAAAATCTGTTGGACGCTTGCAATATTGATTTGGGGGCGAAGAAGTCAGAGCTTGAAGCGGCGTTGTCAGAGTTTGAATCGAAGTCGAATGAATCAAAGGATGCTTACGAGCAGGAAATCCGTACGCTTGTGGAGCGGGTTTCCGCTCTAGAGAACCGGGAGAAAGACTTAGAGGTAGGATATATATTCCATTGTGGCCAGGCTCGAGGGAGTGTCCTCGGAATTCCCCGGATATATATGTGGGAAAGGGCGGCTCCAGAAAATCCGTCTGATTCCAGCTCGAACTCGAACAGAGCCGCGAGAAATCACGCGAAGACGGGCTTCGCATTGCTGGCCTTTCCGAGAAGATTGCGGCTCAGGAAAAAGAGCTACAGACAGGAAGCGAGGAAGCCGAAGAGGCCGCGAAACAACTCGAAAGGGAGAGAACCACGCTTCAGGAGGCCATCAGCAGAGCGGAAACGGAGATAAAGGATCTCCGCGACGAAATGAATCGTCTCGCGAACAAGGTGGATATTTTTCCTCAGCGCAGATCGTTGAATTCTCGGTAGATCGCTGTTTCAAACGACTCAATCCCAACTTTCAGCTGAAGGAGGAAAGCAATGAAAAGGAAAAGCTCGCGGTCGAGCTTGATGCACTCAAAGCCGAGCAGGCGAGCATGGTAGCGGAACTCTCGGAGCTCCGATCGAGAGAGTCGTCAAGGGCTGCTGGCGACGTGGAGCTCTGGAGGAACTTCAGGAGAAGTCTCGTGGACAAACTCGAGCATGTCGACGTGCAGGCCCCGGTTATGAACGACGACGAACTTCTTGGTGTTGTTGACAGGGCGCTGGAGAATCAACGCAAGGTCAAGGAACTCCAGATCGAGAATCAAAGCTTGAGCAGATCGGTTCGAAATGCTGAAGACAACATCAGGTGCCGCATCGTAGAGCTGACGAGCGACAATGATCAGCTGAAGCGGAAACTGCGGGAGGCGTCGAGCGAAGTGAGAACAATTATTTTCCACTGAATTCCACTTGTTTCTCCCGCCATATTACGATACCGTTCCATTTAGGAACAAAGCTGACTAATCGATCGGGAATTTGCAGTTGAATCGTTGCCAGGACGAACTGAAAGAAATCACCGCGACAGTCATCAGAGCCAAGAATGGAGATACGATCGATGGTGGGATATTGAGCTCATTGTGTCGTGATATCCTGAACATGGCGGTCACATCTCAAGACAACGCCACCACTAAGAAGGAAGTCACGGAGCTGCGGCTGGCGCTCAGCAAGAGCTGCCGCGACACCGAACGTCTCCAAGCCCAAGTAGAGCAATTGCAGAAAGCAAAAGATGAACTACAGAGAGTCCGTGAAGAGAGAGATCAAATGATGGAGCAGCTGAGGATTCACCGCGAAAACGAGCAACTCGGTATCCATAGCGAGAAGCAACACGAAGCGACGATGGAGCTCGTCAAGGAAGGTTACGATCTAGAGGTCGAACGACTCCGCAGCGAGCTCCAACGATCTACTAACGATCTTGCCCGCACGAGGTCCGAGCTGAAGAACACCCAGGAATACGTATCCACGCTTCTGGAAAAATACGATAAAACGAAAGAGTACAGTCTGAAGAAGATATCCGGCCTGCACGATATCATTTATCAGAACAATATACCTTTGCCTAGAGCCAGGTGAGAGCTCGGAGCAACCATTGAGTTATCCTCCACGAATTTCCGAATTCCAACTCGCGAGAGTCGGGTGGAACCTGAAGTGAATCGATCGAGGTTCCGGTAGAATTTGAGCCTAAGTGCCTGATTTCCAGACGCAAGAGTCCCAACCAGACCGGTCTCCCAATATCTTCGAGACACAGTGACACTTCTGCCGACGATGTCGAGCGGAAATTGCGGGAGAAAGACGAAGAAATCCGAAGGCTGCGCTTGGCAAAAAGTGAGCTGGAGAAGAGAGTTTGCGCAGCCACGGTCAACGAGCGGATGGCTGCAGGAATCAGCGACTTGAACTCATCCAGAGCCTACACCTCGATGCTGGACATCGAAAGACAACGCATGCCGCCGCCTCCTCCGCCCTCTGGCGATTATCTAAGGGATCATTATTCTTGTGTTGACGACGATCGAGCATGGAAAGAGTTCCGTGAACCTTGCAAGTTCTCAGCTTCCATATGTTCCGACTACGATTCGTTCTCAGTGAAGAGGTTCGTTTCAGGATGAGGAAATATGAACGGATACCTTCACAGCTTTATACCGCAGACTATGAATTCATGGAGTCCCGGTGTCTGGTGTCGATTCCGAACTCCTGAGAAAAACAATAATGTTCTCCCTCTGGACTATTGCAGCATGCCAGCCATGTACCATCAGGATCGGAATCCGATGCAGCGGAGCTTCTCGACGCGGTCCTTATTGTTCGATCACGATACGTCCCGCAGCAGTCAGAGACCCCATGCTTCACATCTCCTGCTTCGGTCTTCAACGTGCTCTCACCGAGGTGAATGAAACGCTCTTGGAGAAGACCCGAGAAGAGCTCAGAATTAGAGAAAAATTCTCCTGTGATGATTCCTGGGAGCAATTAGCAATGAGCGTCTTACGGACATTCAGGCCCCGATTCCCCCCTAATTACAGGAGCGTCGTGTCTCTCCAGCTCCAAATTTGTGCCGCATGAAGAAGATTTCCCTAGTCCTCCGGCCATGTACGACAAGCCTCTACCGACTCACACAGACCCGAAGTTGAGCAATACTTTCGAGAGTATCAATGATCTGAACTATAAATGGTACGTAAAGCCCATCAATTCGCTCGACAAGGAAAAAACGCGATTGATGAAACAAATCGGATACGTATCGTAACGCTTCGCTTCTGTGAACAGTGATCTCGATACATCGTGCGCTTCAAGTCGTGGAGGGCGTTCTGTAGGTTTGGGTGGCCTTGGATTAGGGGACGATGAAGAAGCGCAGTTCATGAACCCTAAGAACTTGGAAGAGTTGAAAAACGGAGGTCCTAAAACCCCTCCGGATTCCCACCGGAGCTCTATTCTGAAACAGCGTAACTCTCAGGTTCCTCCGCATCTCCGGTTCGTTCGACACCTTTTGGCAAACCCGGCATAACTGATGAGAGACTTCCGCGGGCCTCGCTCACTCGGCTTCATTCACAGGTCCTCGTATCCGGTGGAAACTCAAAACGGGAAAATTCCTGTCACCCCCTTGTTGCAAAAGAAACGATTGCCTTGAAACATGTAGGCTCCTGGAATGTCGTTCCGTGGTAGACTTATCTCGATGGAAGCCCCCGCTTAGTATCAATCCATGTCTCACCACAATCTTTCAAGGAAGACTCAAGTGACCTTCAGGCACCTGCCGAATTGACAAAGTGAAATAATCTCGCGACTTCCGCACCCGCCCGAAATAAATGACAGATTCTCGATTTTTGTGTGTTCCTTCCATCGCGGTCAGGACAGCACCATACCCGAGAGCGGAATAACCCTGTCGCATGACGGAGCCATGGGCTTGGATGATAGATTGCGGCCACGCGTTGGATTCGTCGAGGGATCCAATCGTCGCGAATGAGTCGCTGGAAAAAACCTCCCATGCAACCGTCGCGCCGGATCGTATGTCCGACTCCCATTCCATCCCTGAGCAGTCGGAAAAGGACGGCGCCGGTACGGCGGTCTGAATCAGTCCATGAGCGGGAGCTCCTTCAAGCCAAGTCGTCTTGTCGCGGGGGCTGTTCCGTGCGGCGTTCAACCGCCTCGATTTCCGGAGCGGTCACAGCGGTGGAGAGCAGCTCAACGTTGTTCCAACACCGTGTTAGTAAGAATCTTCACAAATCCGATATCAGCTTCTCCCGTGGATAAGCGGGGACCGTTCGAATTTGCGCGCAGTTGGAGACGTGGATGGAAAGATGAGCGTGCAGCAGTCGATGTTTGCGTAGTCGTGCCCGTGCTAAACATTCACTCGAATCGAGTTTTCGTATTCCTTCGTATTTTTTGTTCATATCTTTCGCTCACGCACAGTAAGCCACGGGCGAGTTGCTTTAGTCAAGAGTTGCTCCTTCGCGCGAAGGTCCCCGCTTGGATCCATCTACTCAAGAGAAAGGAAAGTTGTGAAAGTCTAGGGTGAATTGGCGCGTGATGGCCGAAAACTCCGCCTCGGACGACGAAAATGCCGGAGCTGTCGTCACCAACGGAGTCAGTGCTCAAGTCGCTCGTCCGAAGCGGCTATTCACTAGAGAACTGTGCTATATGATGATTGGTCTCGGAGATGAAAGAGAACCCTACGAAGAGACAGTGAACCTCCTCTCGGAACTGGTCATCGAATTCATCACAGATATCTGCCACAAAGCACTGAAGATAGGTACATTCCCGATACTGTGTTTTCGAGCACGCACGATGGCTTCTTGCCTCACATGACGGCCAGTACGGAGCGTATCGGGTATCGGGTCTTCGGAGCGTCGTGAATGATGAACGAATTCTCAAATGAGTAAAGAATGACGTCTACCTCCCCGTCTCTCGCAGGCCACCCCGACAGAATCCAGATCGAGGACATAATCTTCCTCGTGCGCAAGGACCCTCGGAAATATGCGAGGATCAAAGACCTCTTGACCATGAGTGAAAATCTCAAGAAAGCGCGTAAGGCTTTCGATGAAGTGAAATATGCCGTGTGATGCGCACCGATCAATTGTGACGAGAGCTCGCAAAGCTGTATCATTTTTAAAAATCGTAGGACCGGAGTAAATGAACTCGTATGTTTTTTGTGATACGTTGTTCTTCGCGATCATATCCGCTCTCAGGCGCCGCTTCCGGCTGTCGCAATATCCGGCCCCGTTTTCTCAGGACTGTGATGACTTGATGACTCGTTGCAGAATCTCAGAGTCTCACAAGTAAACATTCTTTCTTGAAAATGACAATCACCAGGTTTGACATGCTTTTCTGAAAGTTTCCGAGCCCCGGAGCAACCCCGAGTCGTTTTTCCCTGCTGTCCTGCATTTCATACCCCTTCCCTGCAGGCTCCGAAACCCGGAAAAAACACCATTTTCATCGAAATCCGGGATATTCGGCTCGGATATCAATGGGAATGGGTC